TTGGCATACCTCTATATCATTCTAGTCAAACATTTGTTTCTTTAAATCTTAATGAAGAAGTACCAAGATGGATTCGTGGAACAGGCAATGGACCAAACAAAGAAGAATATACTACAATTGATAATATAGGATATACAGATCAATCATCCTTAAAAAAATATTGGAATCGGTCAGAAGAATTTGAAGATTTTTCTTTATTTAAAATATACCTAACTCATAAATATATAAATGGCAAATGGAAAAAATGTAAAAATGAAAATATTGTTCATATATGATCTCGACCATCAGGACTTCATAATGGAAATGAGTGGGAAGAATTTTGTAGAATAAAAATTCTTTTACATATTTCACATCGAAATATTACCCAGCTAAATAAAAACAACATATCATGGGCAACTATTTATAATCAATATATTGATATAATTAATAATGATCCATGCGATTTGTTAGAAAATTCAATTGATAATGAAGAGTATCTGAGTGACAATTAAAGTTTTAATGAACAACCTGAAGATGAAGAACAGGAGTTTCGATATGATTGGATGTATCTTGCTGAAATGAGATCAAATATGAATATAGACAACTTATTTAGTATGGGTGATAGAGATATAGATCGGAATTATAATTGGATCAATGATTTAAGATATCATTATTCTAGTAAAGATTTGGAATCTGTTAATGATTTTATTAATAAGATTTCAAATAATGCTAATTATGATATTAAAAAAGAAGATAACATAATAGAATATCAAAATTTGAATGAAAATCAGAATGAAGTTTTTAAGCGAATAGAAGTACATTATAATCATATACTTATATGTAATCCAATCAAACCATTAAAGATATTAGTTATGGGAACTGCAGGAACAGGCAAATCATATCTTATTGGAGCAATACGTAAACGTCTTTATTAAATGACAGATAGTAGATTCAAAACTCCAATAATTACAATTGCACCTACAGGTGTTGCCGCTTTTAATATTAATGGATCAACGATACATTCAACATTATTTATATCATCAATAAATGATAAAAATATTGATTTGAATAAAGATAAGCTTAAACAACTTCAAGAAAAATTAAAAGATATTATTTATTTTATTATTGATGAAAAAAGTATGATAGGTCGACGAATGCTTAGAATAATTGATATATGACTAAGACAAGCATTTCCTGATAATAATAATATACCTTTTGGTGGACGGTCTATTATAATGTTTGGTGACTTTGGACAACTTTCACCAGTACTTGATCTTCCTATGTATATAACAGATTCATCATATGATGAAATATCAAATGATGGTATATTATCATATAAACAATTTCAAGAACTATATATGCTTAATATTGTTTAACAACAGTCAGGAAATTCTAAAGAACAACAATATTTTAGAAAAATACTTTTAAGAATAAGAGAAGGATGCTGTAATTTAGATAATTGGAAGTACCTTACTACAAGATTTGAAGAGAACTTGAATAATGAAGAGTGAAATAGATTTTCAGAATCTATATTTATATTAACAAAGTGGATCGATGTAGATAGAATTAATAATAAAATACTTGGATCATTGAATAAACCAATAGCTAAGATTATTACAGTACATACAAATGGATTGGAAGCTAAACAAGCTGATTCAGATATGGCGAAAGGTCTTGAAGCTAAATTATTATTAACAAAAAATGCACGAGTCATGTTAACAACAAATTTATGGACTGAAGTAGAATTAGTGAATGGTTTAATAGGTACTGTAAAAGATATTATATTTATAAAACATAGACCACCTTCACTTCCAATAGCGGTGTTTGTTAAATTTGAGTCATATAAAGGACCTACAATAAAAAACTTGGAAGGAGATGATATTGTTCCAATAGTACCTATTAAGCATAGCTGGGAAAGTAAAAATGGATTATATTCTTGAACTCAGGTGCCATTGTGTCTTGCATGGACTATTACAGTACATAAAAGTCAAGGATTGACATTATCAATGGCTAAAATAGATCTTGGAAATAAAGAATTTGCTGCTGGACTTTCATTTGTTGCAATATCACGAGTACGATCACTTAAAGATATTTGTTTTAAACAGTTTACTTATGAAAGACTTCAACATATTAAAAATAATAAAAGATTACAAGAAAGAAAAAAAGAAGAAATGCAATTGTTTTCTATGATATCAAAAAAAAAATAAAACTTGTTAAAATATAGGAATTATATTTAATATTAAATTGACAAAAAAAATATAGGAATTATGTATATGTAATATTAAATTAATAAAATGATACTACTAATTACAAGGGATTTTTTAATAATATAAAAAATAATATATTTATATTACAGGGGTGGACAGACGGACATTTTCATCAAAATTGTATAGAAATATATAGTCCTTCACTATACTCCGGATTAATTAAAAAATTTGTATCTAATGCTATTTAATTTTAATATATATATATATATATATTGCATATATTATTATTAAATTTTATTTAGAATAATTTTTTATTTTACTTTTTTTATTATTTATAAAATATCAATAACAAATTATTCAAATTATGTATTTTAATATATAAAATTAATTATTTTTAAAACATTATTAATTAAAATTAAAAAATTGATAGATTAAAAATATAAAAAAAACTAATTTAAAAAAAACCATATTTTTAATTATAAAAAAAAATCTATAAAATCATCAATTAATCATTAAAAAATATATATTGAATCTTAATTATCTTTATAATAAAATATATTTATTAAATCAATATAACAGTAGACAGCTTAATGTTTAGTTAAAAAATATATATTTTATTAATAAAAAATATTATATAAAAAATATTTTAAAGTTTGATTAATCTATAATTAATTAATTTATACATTGAAATAATTTATTGTTGTTGTTGTTTTTTTATAAATGATAGAAATTTAATTTGCCATTTCTTTTTAATTAAAATTTAATTAACGTATTTAAAAAAATTATTTTAATAAATTTAAAAAAATTATTTATGTCTTTAAAATAAATAAACAAATAAAAAATTAATTTTAGACAATTTTTTTTGTTCCAGACTGTATATTAGGAAATTTGTAATTTGAGTTGTTTCAATAAAACCACGCATGTATTGCACTTTAGCTTTTTTTTTAAAAAAATAAATTATTTATTAATTTGATATACTGATTTGCTGAATAATTTACTTTTTTTTCCAAATGATTGCCATCATAAAAATAAAGTAATCTTTTGATTTTATTAATTACTTTCAATTGAAAATCAATTATATATTTTTCTCATAGAAAGATAAAGTTTTTTTTACGGAATTATCATTGGTCTTTTGTTTCTTACGTGTGATCTCGAATCTTGAATTTTACGCAAAATCATTCGAGTTTGAATTTAATAAATCCAAACAATATCCAATTTCTTGTTGATTGAACATGGTGCGATTGTTTTTTTTTTGTTAATGAAAATTTTTTTGATTGAAACAAATAATGGTCAGAATAAACAATAAATATTGACATATCGTATATACAGCACATATTTTTTTCGTTGTAGCAAAGTACAGTATCTACCACCGTGTGTAATAATTACCCTTGGACAAATGCTGATGGAAATAAATACAAGGGTGCTACGTGTGCACTTTTTAATAAAAAAAATCAATTCTTTTTTCTTTTTTCTCGAGAGCACAGTAAATAAAAAAAAATTAAAAATTCGTTTTTTTTTGTACAAGAATTACAATAGGATTTCGCTTTACGGCAATTGAAAATAAATTTCATTTCCTTCTTGTTATCGCCTAATTGTTTTCATTTAGCAACAACAAAAAAAGAACAAAAAAAATCAGATAATTTATGATTATCGAATGCTGGAATGCGGTACCATGTTTCGATAAAATAAAACCCCGTGAAACTTTCGATAAAAGAAAAATGGTTCGTGAAACATTTCCGATGGTTAAAAATATCCTCGGGTGTTCAAAGTCGCAGCGATGTCGTGAGCAAAAGATTTTAATTGGTCTTTTTTTTTTGTCCCGATATCTACCCGTGTTCCCAAAATAAATAATAAGTTTTTTTTGAAAAAATCAAGGAATTGGTGTGCCATATTTATTTGCACATATGCATTTTTAAGGAATCGGTAGATTTACAGTATGTCGTGTATATCTATTTATTTTTGCTCGATCGTGATGATTACTTTTCCCTAGTAAATGATTGTATAAATGGATGTGTCGATTGTGGATGTTTATGACAGAGTGATGATAATAATTAAATGCATTACAGTACTGTATACAGTGTGCTGTATGTACAGTAAATTAAATTTGGAATGTTAAAAATGGTTGAATGAGATGGGAACAATTCACAAGAGTGCGTAATGATATTCTTTCATCAAAGCTCGATGGCTTACATGTGAAGTTGGTAGATCTTATTGTCGAGGGGAGGGAGACCGAAATGTTCAGAATCGACGGGCTAAATGCATTTTTCATTTCCAACCGATGACCATGACGTTAGTTGTTTTTTAGGTGAGAAATGCTAAGGCGCATTTTTTTTGGTTTACTCTTGATCTCAGGAGTAAAATTTCCGGGGTCAAAAGAACTTTAATCTATCTCCGAAAACATGATTTTGGAGGAGGGTCTTTGCATGACGCAACTGACAGAAATTACTTACAGCTAACTTTATTAGGTAAGCATGTTAACTCGATTTAATTCGTTACCCTTCATTAAACCATATTCATACTGAAAATCATGACCTAATCTTAATTACCTAAACAGGTCGCAAGAGCAATTAGGTAAAAGTGAATAGAATAGGACGAATATTATTTGATTATTGTTAAATTCATGACATGGTCAATTCCCCCTCTCCGGAATCATTATTGCCCTCTTCGCAGTTGTCGGGAGGGGCTTCTTTTCTAGATTGATTTTGTGTTTGTGTATTATTTGTCACACATTGTTTGTCACCAAATGTATAAATATGCGAGGAATCGATCGTTCTTCCTCATAATTGTCAATAATCAAATATTCCTAGAGAAAAAATGGGAAACTCATCTTCAAAGAGAAAATCTGCTATCGTCAACAATTACATGGATTTCTTTTCCGCCAAAGATCCTTCACTTCCGACGGATGAACGCATGCAATTGGGAAGTCACATAATCCGAGAATTATGGGGAGAGAATTTTTCTTCACCGATTAAGGACTTGTTGAAAAAAGGTGGCGCAACAGTCTTGGATGTTGGGTGTGTTTTGCAACCACATATTATCCCATCGACTTCTCGTCTTTTTCTAGTTGATGATAACTAATCTAATCTACTTTCTTCCATTCATTCATTAGATGCGGAACCGGTACTTGTTGATGCACAGCAATTACTGTGTTGGATTTTTTCGAATTTTTTGTTCATCATCATCTCATCATTCTTCTATCAATTAGGAACATGGATGTTTGACCTTGCCGCTGATTATCAAAAGTCCTCATATGTGGGTGTCGACATGGTACGACTATTTCCAGCCGGCACAGAACCGTTTAACGTAAAATTTGTAAATGGGAATGTCCTGAATGGATTACCTTTCGAGGATGGGACATTCGATTTCGTGCACGTGCAATTCCTCGTATTTGACATTAAAGAGGCTGACTGGGAGAGTATTGTGTAAGCAAGCATTTTGAAAAAAGTCGAAAGTTTTTTTTTTTTTTTTCTGCTACGAATCTGAGGTACATTTCTTGAAAATTTACAGATACAAGGAATTGGTTAGAGTGCTAAAACCCGGTGGATGGTTGGAGATTTCTGAACCGGAATTCCGATGTTCTAAAGTTGGAGAAGTTACCCAAAAATTCATAACCGCCGGTAAGATTCAATAAAATTCATCAAGTTTATAACATCAAAAATTCATTCCTGATTCCGTTTGACAGGAACCAAACGGTTTAGTTCTATGGGAGTAAATATACACATAGCCTCACGTCATCTGGAAATAATGTCTGGCATATCAGAACTCACATCAATACATCATCAAGAACGAGGATATCCTCTGAACAAATGGCAAGGAAAACTTGCCGAAACTGGAAGAAAATACATGAGGGAAACGTGCGGAAATTTAATGCAGAACATTCACGGAGACATGAAGATCAAGAAAAAGAAGATTGACGAAATGATGGACGAGATGGTGGAGGAATGGAAAGTGTATGAGCCATTTATTAATATTCATAGATTCTTTGGGCGAAAGTTAATGTAAATATTTAAAAGGAGGTTTTTGACGAGGGTGATATATTGTATATGTAAAAAGACTTTTTTTTTTTTTTCTTCCTAATTTTCTATGTATTTTATCATTTTTAATAACTCGTATCAACACATCATCTTACCCCATCCATATGACCAAATTAAGCTTAACTCTCATACCCGTAACAAAAAAGCAAGAAAAACACTAGTAAATAATTTGATTAATAAACTCAAAGCGAAAAAACTCTATGTCCGAACATTTCTAAAAACTGCCCTGCCTGTAAAACAATTACTGTATCTTGGATTCGCAAATTTTTTTTAATGATACGCATGATGATGACGGCTTCCATACTATGTATATCAAACCTCATGAAATCCACTGCGGATCTCGGCTCATAAAATTAATATTGATACACAATTATTTAAGAGAGTTCGGCATCGAGAAAAAAAAGGAAATAACGGATGTGCGCACGAATAATGGCACAAGTATGACGATCACGTCTAGAATTTTTAATGGTTAGTTAGTGTGGGTGCGATACGTAGATACGTACGTACATACAGTATGTGGCATAAATGAAGTGTTTGTTTGTTCATCTAGTATGGACGATGTCTGAGATCTATCATTCATATGAAAGGACGATATAGAATACTAATTCAGTCTTAGCTAGATTTATTTATAAAGATCACAGAAATGGAATGTCGGACTAATGCTGAACCTCTAAGAACGCAGGCTGTTGACTAATCATTCATCGGATATATATACAACTTTTCTGTAGCACTCATTCATTCATCGGATGCGGTGGAATTTCCTTCGACACAACTCTCAAGGTTATGCGAATTATGTGTGTCACCATGTAGTAATTGTTATTCGGTTGATTTATTTACCCTACCAATTTGTAATCAAACATTAAAGAACAAATAATTCCTACATTCAATTTAATTAAGCACATAGCATAACAGGAACGTATGCACATCCTTTCTCTGACTTTTTTTTTTTTTTTTTTTTTTTTTTTTTTTCAAGGTTTAATCTAGCTTTACTAGTCTTTGAGCAACATGTTGATTTTTAATCTACCCTGCGTATTCCATCTTTGACAACACTCGACTACAATTTGCACTTATTTGGTTATAAATGTTGGGTCACGGGTTTTACAACAATCAACCACTGAAAATTTTTCTTACCATCGATTAGCGTGGTTTATCTCTCGTCTGAACATCGTAAAGTTTACAAATAAAGTTTCTTTCTTGGCGATGTTGTATTCGATCGTAACTTATTTTATGCCTAAATAAACTTTTACGAGCTAAAGTTTAAGTGAACCATTAAAATTTTGCATTTGTTCCATAGTTAATCGGGAAACTTCGTGTAAAGTGATGATGATGGCACATATAATACATTGATAAAATATTTTCCGTTTGGATTCAGAAAAATTTCCAACAAACATTGATTGTCATTTTTTATCCCATCCTGATTGTTATTCCACTTTGAAAACAATGGAACATCAAAATCCTACGTTGAAAACTGGCGAAGATTCAGGATCCGGTGTAAATTCGAAATGTGATACCATTGAAAACGTTCAACCTGCACTATGTGAAAAAAAAATTCTCCAATTGTCTTTAAATCCTTCCTTGGAGTCAATTGTCATTTCGTCAAAGGAAAAAGATTTGTTAGCAAGTCGTGAGAGTGACCATGATCCCAGGAACTGGCCCGCGAAAAAAAAGAATCTCATACTTTTTATAATCGCTGCAGCAGGGATACTTGCGCCCATATCGAGCACGTGGGTTTTTCTTTTTTGTCGCGTGGCACCGGTATCTTTTTTAGCAAATGCTTTTTATTCACCGGCAACGGACTCGCTTCTAGAATTTTTTTCCCGGCACTTATCGAAGTTCGTAACGACCTAAATACAACCGAGGTCCTCGCAAACGGACTAGGTATTCATCATCTTATGATTATGAAATGCGTTTCCATGTAACTTGATGTTAATCGTTTTGTCAAAAACCCACAGTTGCGGTTTTTATCCTGTTTACAGGGATCGCGCCACTTGGTTGGGCTTCGTATTCGGATGCTTATGCTACGAGACGTAAAGTCTACTTGGTCTCCATTATGCTATTTCAAATTACGAGCGTGATATGCGGTATCGCGAATAACATTTGGGTGTTGATGCTGATGCGTGCTCTTCAAGCATGTGGCGCCTCGGCTGTTCAAAGTATCGGTGCTGGAAGCATTAGCGACATTTTCCATCCTCATGGTGAATTCCCATCTATCTCTACTACTACCAGTGCATGGCAATTTTTTCGGTTTCGGTAATAAACCGGTCGTCATTTTTCTTTTCTTTTTTTTTTTAGAACGTGGTCGCGCGTACGGGATTTTCTATATCGGACCCTTGATAGGTCCTCTAATTGGTCCGATTATCGGGGGTTATCTAACACAGTACCTTGGTTGGCGTTGGATATTCTGGTTCCTGACAATATTCGGTGGAATTCTAATTCTGATCATTTTTTTCGCTCTCCCGGAGACATTTCGTAAGACATCACCCTCCCATTCATTGCCTCAAACCTCTCCAACAGCGCCTCGTGGTCGTTTTAACCCACTCGCCCCACTCGCCTTACTCCGTTATCCGAACGTCTCGTTAACCTTGCTTTACGTGAGCTCGGTATTCGCCATCATCTACGTCCAGAACACTCTGATATCAAAAAATTTTACCCAACTATATAATCTTAGAACATCCGACGTTGGACTCGTGTTCCTGGGTCCAAGTTCCGGGTACATCGTTGGAAGTGTGATAGGTGGAAAGTATTCGGATTTCGTGTTTAATAAAAGTGCTAAAAAATGTGACGGCGGGGTCGGTTATCCGGAAATGCGATTGAATAGCACTTGGTTTGCAATGATCTCTTTGCCTGCATCTTACGTGACCTATGGATGGATGATTGCGCATAGGCTTGGTATGATGTTTCCCCTAATCGCAATGTTCATTGGTAGGTGGTGGTGACTGTGATTATCATTTGTAAGATTCGAAAATACAAACTCAGTTCATCATCTGTGTTACAGGAGGATTCAGCTGCCTAATAGTGTTCAACTCAACCTCCACTTATCTGGTTGATGCATTTCCCGGTCGTAGTGCTTCGGCAATCGCGGTGAACAATTTTTTACGATCGATAGCCGCGGCGACCGTTTCAGCAGCTGCCGCACCTTTGCAAGATGCTCTCGGTATTGGATGGTTGTACACCATCATGTCGGGTCTCACTTTAATAGGAAGCGGTTTTCTGGTGTTGGTATATTTCAAAGGGAAAAATTGGAGGGAAAAATTGGAGAATGAGGGGACTTGAACTGGCGTACTGTATTACGAAATTTGAGGGGTATGCTGTACATGCGTGGTTTTGTAAAATTAAATTTCAAAAGTATTTGTTTATCAAGTTACATTCAAAATACTGTATATACTTTTTTTTTTCGTCTACGATTGACATGTCATCATATAAAATAATGTATCCTATGTTGTTTATATCGTAAATCAAAAAGATATATTTGTCATTGTGAATCAACTATTGCGTGATAGAAAATCTGCAAAAAATGAAATTTGATTATAGATCACGAGAAAGTGTCATGCATGTTCCAAAGGCATTGACGTTGGTTGCTTTATTAATGCTGTTTCCTTTTTTAGCAATTCATTGGAATTTTTCGACCAAAATTTTTTCTCCAAATGGATCAACATTCCCAAGTATTTGGTGAAAGATTCGTCACGCGCCAAAAAGTATTATTTATCAGTGTAGTGATGTGGGAAACGGTGGGTCTGTCGCTTGCTCCCAGGTCTCGTCGCGGCACATCACACGGCAGATAAATAGGCTCACCTTGCACTAATCGGCTGAGTGGTTTGTGGTTACTCTAATTGCTTCTCTTGTTTTCTTTTAGGCGAAAGAAACCATTGTATTTGACTGATCTTTGTTCGTATGTCACGATTCACGGGCGAAATTAAAACATAACACGACGAAAATAGAATACAAGGGTTAATTCGGATTCAAAAGGCGAACATTTCTTGCCGACTTCATTTGATAAGAAAACCCAGGTATTTTCATACATGCAATTCATTATCCCAATCATCCAATTACCCAATCATCCCAATTACGCTCCTTATCCTCTTTATTCCGCTTATCCTCATCACGATTCTTTTTTATGGCGGGTCTGGTATGAATTTCAGTCATTATCGAGTTTTTCAATCCAGTTATTACCGAGTTTTTCAATTCATTCTCATGGAAATTCAGAGTACCGCGTCGCGTGATGGTGAAGAATCAAGTGTGGATTTTCTCTGCTGCACTATTATAGAGAAGACTCCTGTTGCATTATGCAAAGAAATCAAACCGAATCCTTTCCGGCGTTTGACTGCTGTCTTACGAATGGAAAGGAAATCATCGGCTAGTCGTGGGGAAAGAGATGATCCCAGGAATTGGTCAAAGAGGAAAAAAAACTCTGTGATTTTTATAATCGCTATAGCGGCGATGCTTACTCCTCTCTCAACCACGTGGGTTTCCTTTTATCATCATTATATCAGTCTTACCAAGTATTCACCGACAACGGATCTTGTTTCAGAATACTTATCCCAGCACTTCTCGAAGTTTGTAATGATTTGCATGCAACAGAAATTCATGCCAACGGATTAAGTACAACAACTATAATCTTACTCATGCCGTTTACCATAAAATCCACTGTCGTGTCTCTTAATTATCCAATTTATTTGTTTGTTTATTTAAATAGTTGCAGTGTTTATCTTGTTTTCAGGGATTGCGCCGCTTGGTTGGGCCTCATACTCTGATGCTAAAGCTCAAAGACGTAAAGCCTACCTAGCTTCCCTCGTGTTATTTCAAATTGTAACTATAATATGTGGATTCACAAATAATATTTATATATTAATTGTGATGCGCGCGCTTCAAGCATGCGGTTCTTCCGCTGCACAAAGTGTTGGTGCTGGATGTATATCTGATATATTTGATCGTGATAGTGAGTCATATGCTGTGCATCGATTTCATTCAAGAATACGTAAAATAATCACTACAGTATATATTTCAGAACGTGGTCGTGCCTATGGGATTTTCTATGTCGGACCTTTGATGGGTCCTCTAATTGGACCGATTATCGGGGGTTACCTGACCCAATACCTAGGTTGGCGTTGGATATTTTGGTTCTTGGCAGTGTTCGGCGGATTTATCTTCTTAATAGTTTCTCTTGCTCTCCCGGAGACATCTCGTGGGAAACCTTCCCAGAGTCATTTCAATCCACTTGCTCCACTTGCCCTGCTCAGTCACTCGAGCGTCTCGTTATCTTTACTCTATATAGCCTCACTATACTCAATTATCTATGTTCAAAACACCTTGATGTCGAGAAATTTCGTGGGCCTATACCATATCAAATCATCCGAGGTTGGACTTGCGTTCCTGAGTCCAAGTATAGGATTCGTTATTGGAAGTGTAGCAGGAGGAAAATATTCGGATATCATGTTTAAGAGAGCCAAGGAGCGTAACAGCGGAGTCGGTTATCCTGAGATGCAGTTGAATATTGGTACTTTGGTTGCGATGGCGGTATTTCAGATATCTTATGTGAACTATGGGTGGATGATTGCGCGCGGAATCAGGATCGTGTTTCCTCTGATCACTATGTTTCTTGGTAGGTGATGATAATTATTACACTATATATAGGAAACTCGCAAATCATTCTTGCGTCATTAACTTCTTTATGCATTGTAGGAGGATTAGGCTATGCGATAGTGTTCAACTCAATCTCCACCTGCTTGATTAACGCTTTTCAAGATCGTAGTGCCTCAATTATTGCTGTGAATAATTTCGTGCGAGCATTGGCTGCAGGAGGCATGTCGTTAGCTGCTGCACCTTTGCAAGATGTTTTAGTCGCTGGTTGGTTGTACACCATAATGGTAGGGTTCAATATATTGGGGAGCGGATGCTTGGTGTTATCATGTGTTATAGAGAGAAAACGGCGAAAAAATAGAAACCTTGAAATTTAGAGAACTTTGGATAGATTTTTTTTAATGCATTCAGTTTATACATTGCATGGATTTTTTTTAACGCATTCGGTTTATACATTGCATAGATTTTTTTAATAAAGAAATATTCATATAATTCACACAAAAATTAGGTCTAAAATAATAATAATAATAATATAGCGTTAGAATCCATCAATGAAGAAGCTTGTTAAATTCCATGTGTTATTATTTCATATCACAGTCATCATTCATAGCTTCCAGTTATTATGAATCCAATAGTCCCAATTAAGTTAGGTCTTTTGCGAGTTTTCATTTGTAAATTAATGTGCGTCTCCTGTGATATCACCTTTTTTGGTAACCAATTAAATCAATAATTAATGTAACATGTCCTTATATTATTTGTATATATAAAAAAATTTGAGAGTGGTTAGAGCAATAACAGCAGTATCAAATTTATAAACCACTATTGATAAGTATCATCAGAGCAAACTATAGATAAATAATATGTTCAAATTGTATATATCAAGTTAATATATTATTTCTTACACATAATAAATATAAAAGAAGTTATATAAAGTGGAATTAGATATATTGAATTGTACAGTATATCAATATATAAGATTTCAATTTCTCTTATATTGAATAAAAGTTTAAAAATTGTCAAAGCATTTCAAAAAATTTATAAAAATTTATTAAATTTACTAATATGTCTCAAATTATTAATTATTGATAATAATTATAAATATATGAATAAAAATATCCAGATATTATAAAAACATAAAATAATAATTTGAATAATTGAAACATACATTATCAAGAATTTATAATTATAAATATATTATGTAAAACTCTTATAGAAATTTACAAAATGTATTATACTGTTGAATCAATATCTTTAAACTTTAAATTTATAAGAATATAAATTAAATATTTAAATAAATATTTAATATATTTTATTCAAATCTTAGATTTTTTTAAAATAGAAATTAACTTTTTTAAAAACTATAAAGTTAAATAAATTAAATTCAAATTATCAACATTATAAAAGTATATTATAGAAAAATACAAAAATAAATTAAAAAAAATATTTTTTTTTTATAAATAAAAAAAAAATCTTTTAGTTTAGAGCAAAAAAAAATTATCAATTTTATATTTAATTTTTTATTTATTCAATTATAAAAATAATAATAATAAATAATTCAGCTTTATATTATTTAAGTAATAAATATGTTTTTTCTAAAGTATTATATAAAAAAAACTCTTAGATACAAATAATTAATTTGTTTTCAAAATATATTATAAAAATTCAGTATATTAAATTAATTTACTTTATTTATGTTCTTAATAATAAATTTAATAAAGTTTAATAATAAATTAAAAGGTGTAATAAAAAATATTTTATAAAATTTAAAAAAATAAAAAATATTTTTTTGTCTCTAATCAAACTATAAATAATAATATTTATTAATCTAATTTTTTTTAAAGAATAATAATACAATATACAGTATAATATTATACTAAAGCTAAACTAGTTCTATTTTGCAAAATACTCATTAATAAGTTTAGATTTGTATATAATCCTTGAATTTTTAATATCAAAATTATTATATAGCTTATATAATTTAGTTATTTACTAACTATCTTACTATAAGAATATAAATTTATTAAATTATTATCATATAATATTAACTATCTTAGACTTTCTAAATCTTAACTATCTAAATATATTGTGAAAAATAATAAAAAAAGTAAAAAAATTTTATTTTTTAAGAAAATAAAAAGAAAAAAAAAGAAAAATAGTTGAAAGATTTATTTTAATAAATAAAAATCTTCCAATATCAACTTTAATTTATAGGAATAAATTCTTTACTATTATTTGCAGCTGAACAAACTATTTAATTTTTATTATTTCATTATTAAAGAATTATTGCTTGATATCTTTTCAAAATAATTATTAATATAGAAAACTTATTATTAGATTGAAATAAAACTTTATTTAATCTTAAAAAAAAAAGAAACTAGTTAAAAAGGAAAGAAAAAATACTATAATACATTTAACAAAATAAACATCACATCACATTATCTTATTCTTTTTATTATATCCAATAGCATAATCAGATTTATTGTTATATAAATAAAACATATAGAAATTATATATCTTGTTTATATTTTTTATTATGTATAAATCAATCAGTTTAAATTCTTAACCAATTATCACTCAGAAGTTTCAATATAACCAAAAATTCAGAATTAAATTAATATAGACAAAATTTCTTTAAAAAAAGTTTATATGCTTAAGAAAATATATAGAAGGCTTAAAAAAGATGAAAAAAAATCCATAAAACTTATAATTATCTTTTTTAAAGTTTTGAATCTCTAAAGAAAAAGAGAAAGATATTGTTTCTACAAGTTTTTTTTTCTAGCAAGTATTCTTGTCTTTGACTTTTTAAATAGGTTTTCTTATATTTACTTATAGAAATATTAGAAGCTTATTTTTTTTTAAAAAAAAAAAACAAGTAAAAGAAAACTAAAGTCTCTAAGTAATAATATTATTAAAGAAAGTATGTAAACTTTATTATAAAAAAATATAAAATTATTTTAAATATCTATTTATTTAAAAATATTAATTTAAAATCAAAAAAATATTTCAAAAAATATATTATAAAATATATGTATAAATTTATATATAAAATAAAACAAAGACCTATGGGTTTATAGCTCAATGGTAAAGCTCTATAGGTCACCAGGTGAAGGTCCAGGGTTCAACCTCACCTGGTTACAAAAATTTATTACCTTCATAATTAGTTGACTGGCTTCCAATTCATGTCGTATCCAATCAGCCGCAAATCATCTTCCAAATTTAGTTAGGTTGTATGAAGATAGGACCTCTGGTCTTCCTGACGATCGCAGGCTGAAAACAGGTCGAAGCAAGGAAGGTTGCATGAGAAAAGGCTTCTGGTCTAACTCCGATAAAAAGCTCACTCTAATCCAAACTGGTGATAGCAGACTCAATCACACAATTCCAAAAAAAAAAGAGGTTAATTCTAAGCCATTCTATCCTAATCTGGAGCTTGTAAATCTATCCCAATGATGACATTCTACAGAACTTAATCATATGACTAAAGAGCAAGATATCAGCCACAGGTAGTGAGAATACTAGACAAAAATTGTTAAGCCAAGTGCGTCTAGTGAGGACCTATAAGATTAAATCAGAATCCAAGCAAGGACGCCAGTTCCACAGGTAATGAAAATGGTAGTACTACGTTATGCTAGTAGTACATCCCAAGGATCAGTGATAACAGTGACTGGAATATTGAGTTAGTCTCTATAATAATATTTCATAATATGCCTTACCCACGACAGATACAGTTGCGACAGGACCTAGTAGGAAGGTGATTTAAAACTAGTGGTAGGATTTCCACTCCCTATGTAAGTCCCACCTGGCATGTGGATTATCTACTTGATGTTTAAAATTTCGTATAGCTGGATATGTCATAATTGGTCTAGGGGAAAACTGGGAGCACTGGAAATGGTGATCATCAGGTAGCATATATTTGTATTTAGGATAGCAATAGTCTATTTTAATAGCCTACTTTGTAAAGATGTTTGATGTACTGACTACAAACAAATGTTTAATAAATGTCGCGTATTTAATGTCCTAAGCCAATTAAAAAAAAAATAAAATAAATAAAATAAAATAAAATAAAATAAAAACAAAAATTAAAACTTTACTATAGAAAATTTTTTTAAAAAAAATAAAAAAAATAAATAAAAATTTTAAGCTTATAAAAAAATTATAAAAGATTCTTTTTTTTTTTTTTTTTTTAAGGCGCAAATGCAGTGACCACTTCTTCTTTATTGATAAATTCCTTATACCAATTTTACAGTTGCAGTTAAGGACTCATACAAGTCAGTATATTATATACTCTATGCAGATT